AGCCGCCCCCCTCTGGCTCCATGTGGTGCCAATCAGACCCTGGCCCCTGGGCGCCTGCCTTTCATTAGCAACTAGACTGCTATGAGTGCAAACGCAAACATGCTTATTCCATTAAGAAGAAGAAGAAAAAAAAAAAATCCCCTGGATCTATAAAACCAAAGTCTCACCCTCAGAATACCCGAAACTGCAAACAGTGGTGGAAGGCCCTCTGGACCATGTGCTCCATGCACCTTTCCCAGTGCTCCCTCCTCTGGCCCCTCCCCCCCCACCCAGCAGCTCAGTCTATCTTTCCTGCTGCTCTGGCCACCCTGCTGTCCTGTCCTCTGCAATAGGAACAATAGGAATACAGCTTCTGCTGGGCTTCCTCCTCCTCTAGGGTACTATGAGGCACAGGCTGCCATTTGAGTGCAATCTCCTGGCATTTCTATTCGCCCCTGGGCTCAGCGTGGCCTCACAAGAACACCTCCATGGTGCTTTAGGCCTTCTAGAGAGGAAGGGGCAACCCACAGAAGGCTAGGGCTCCCTGGCCACTGGCAAAGCATAGCTCCACCCAAAAGCTCCCTTCCCCCATTTTCCTTGGCAGTTTCTGAACAAACTTCCAGGCGTGTCCTCTGCTAGGGAAGTGCTGCTCTAGTTTCAGTGTGATTGGAATCCCTGGGAGTTTTGTTGAGACACAGATTCTGATTCAGATCTGGGTGGTGCACAAGATTCTGCATTCTAGCAGGTTCCCAGGTAGACATCTACTGCTTTAATGGGCTCCCGACTGGCTATCTGATACTCTAGCAGGATCCCAGGTTGCTTCTAGCCCTTTAGCAGCTTCATGGATAGACATCTCTGGGCTCCCAGGTGTTTAGCACTCTAGTGGGCTCCCAGGTAAGCATCTAGCACACAGTGGGCTCCTAGGTAAGTATCCATCACTCTAATGGGCTCCCAGGTAAGTATCCATCACTCTAGTGGGCTCCCAGGTAAGTATCCATCACTCTAGTGGGCTCCCAGGTAAGTATCCGTCACTGTAGTG